AATAGATTTTCTCAATTCCCATGAACACACACATACTACCTGCAGCATGTGCGCGTGCGCACACACACAACACACACACACACACACACACACACACACACTCACACACACACACACACACACACACACACACACACACACACACGAAGTAGAATCTCCATAACTTATCCTACTGAGGTTGTGTTAAATATACATGGTGAATACAGAATGCAAAATAAAAACATGACTGTAATAAGGTAAGAACCCTTTGAGATTCTTTCCATTCCCAGAAAAAAAAAAATATCTCAGCATTTATCAAATCCTGTTTTGCTGTAAAATAGAGGCATACCTTCTGTTTAGTTGGCATTTTTGCACCATACCAGTCAGTCAACAACATGGTTTAAGCATCTGTTCTATGAAGATCTTAAATGATTCCAGGAAGGCTCTGGTTGAGTGATGGAAAGGGGATTGGACATTGAGTTGCAGAACCAAGGTTCAGGTACTGGCTCACTGGGTAACCGCTTTGAGCCTTATTTTCCTGCCAACAGTGCCAACTTCATAGGATCACTGAGGGATTGGATGAGTTAAGGGGTGTGAAGGTAGTCTGTAAATGGCACAACTTTAGGCTTGACTTCCCTTTTCTAAATGGAAACTTGTTCTCATGATCTTTAACCCAACATATGTTACCATATCACTTTCCAGGGTAAGGGCTTTCAGGGGCTCCCCCTTATGCTCACACTAGAGTCCAAGCCCCTGGGCGCAGCCCATGAGGCCCTACATGATGACATTCCCACCACGTTCTTCGACATCTTTTCATCCTCCCTACTTTGTGAGCTGTAATGCATTCATCTACAGTTTCTGAAAGAGTCACAGTCCTTAGGGCTCCTCTGACTGTGATGTCCACTGTGATGTCCACTCATTTCCCCTCTTCCCCACCTGGGTCCTCTTTCTGTACTCCTCATGTCTCTCACAGTCCCCAGTTCATGGAAGGTGCTCTTCTTCAAGTTCCCGTCAGATCTATGAAGGCAGAGACCATATCTGTGTCTGCCTCCTGTACTGTTGATTTCCCAAGGTCTAAAATGGTGTTGGCACATAGTAAGGCAATCAACAAATATTTGTGAATTGAACAATAGATCCTTACCTAGCTAGTATTTATCACACTTTGTATTACACAGGAGTCTTAAGTTCAAGTGACAGAACCCTTACTTAAATTTGTTTATGTGAATATGAGAACTTAGCAGCTCATATACACAAGAGGTCCATGATAGAGGGCTTCAGGCAAGGCAGACTCCAGAAGCTCCAAATGCATCATGAGAAATATGTCTCTGCTGATACTATTTTGTCTCTGTGGCTTCATCTTCCAGTCAAGGGGCCAGATACAGTGTGTTTTATTGGAACCATGTGGAATCAAAAAACAGAGAGGTAAGATGAGTTAGAGAATAGATGGCGAGCAAGCAATAATAACAGACCTCCTTGCCAGGACTTGGCCACATGCTCCTGAGCACAGGGGCTGCTCACCTCTCTGTATTTCCAGTAGGGGCTGGCGCATCATAGACACTCAGCAATGTTTGCAAATGAATAGATGTGTCATTTGTTTCCCCTTACTTTTAGGATGGAACTGACGGTTCTACATAAGTTACCTTCTGCCTCATTCTCTGTTTTGCTCTCTTTTTACCTGTGGGCAGGATCCGACGTCTACCTTCTTTCAGTTTGGAGCGTCTATCCAGCAACAAGCCACAGTCATGCTGAAGATCATGCAGGATTACGACTGGCATGTCTTCTCCCTGGTGACCACCATCTTCCCTGGCTACAGGGATTTCATCAGCTTCATCAAGACCACAGTGGACAACAGCTTTGTGGGCTGGGACATGCAGAATGTGATCACACTGGACACTTCCTTTGAGGATGCAAAGACACAAGTCCAGCTGAAGAAGATCCACTCTTCTGTCATCCTGCTCTACTGTTCCAAAGATGAGGCTGTCCTCATTCTGAGTGAGGCCCGCTCCCTGGGCCTCACTGGGTACGATTTCTTCTGGATTGTCCCCAGTTTGGTTTCTGGGAACACGGAGCTCATCCCCAAAGAGTTTCCATCAGGACTCATTTCTGTCTCCTATGATGACTGGGACTACAGCCTGGAGGCGAGAGTGAGGGACGGTATTGGCATCCTAACCACTGCTGCATCCTCCATGTTGGAGAAGTTCTCCTACATTCCCGAGGCCAAGGCCAGCTGCTATGGGCAGACGGAGAAGCCAGATGTCCCGCCGCACACTTTGCACCCGTAAGAAAGGGCTTTATTTGTCTTCCAAAGTGGGGTTTTGTTGTGGTCATTGTTTGTTTACATACTCATTGGTGGAAATAAGCACTGAAAACGGAGAATGTTGTGTGCATACTTATGGGAATTTCCTCTCCCTCTCTTTTCCTGCTTCCTCTCATCTCCTTTGTTTGTGAGATAAGTAATGTCATACTTTGTCTTCTGAAACTTACTTTTTCAAGTCAACAATATATCTTGGAAGCCTACACTTGAGATGTATTTCTCTGTCTCTCATCATCTATCTGTCTATGAATCTATTGTCTGTCATCCATCTGTAGCTGTATCTTAAGTATATTTATCCTCTTTGTAGCTCACAATGATTTGAATCCAGACAAGCCTAACTCCAGTGCCCACATCCCATTCTTTAATATGGATATACCATGATTTTCTTATCCAATATGCATGGTGATGGAAACTTAGAGTTTCTATCAGAATTTTTCCCATGAAAGGCTAAACTGCAGTGATAACCATTATACTTGTCTCTGTATGCATATGTGCAAGTGTTTTCTAGAGCTGATTCTAATATGTGGGACTTTGAGATCATAAAACATGTGCTTTTAAAAATGTATCTAATAGCCAGGGTTGGTGGCTCAGCCTGTAATCCCGTGCCTTTGGGAGGCTGAGGTGAGTGGATTGCCTGAGCCCGCGGGTTCGAGACCCGCCTGGGCAGCGAGACCTCATCTCTACAATAAATCAAAAAATCAGCCGGGCGTGGTAGCGCGTGCCTGTAATTCCGGCTACTGGGAAGGCTGAGGCGGAAGGATCGCCGGAGGCCAGCAGGCGAGGCTGCGGTGGCCGGGAGTGGCCACTGCACTCTAGTCTGGGTGACCGAGTGAGACTCCAACTCAACAACAACAACAAAAAACAAAAAACAAAAAATGTATCTATTACCAAATTGTTCTACAAAGGGACCACACCAATTTATATTCACACCAGCAGTTTGTGAAATCACCCAATTTCTCACATATTTAACAACATGTTACACTGGGAAAACTGCCCACACTGGTGTTCCTGGTCTCTGACTTTGCATCTGAATTTCTTCCCTTCTTATATCCTAAGTAGTTGTGTGGTCATCAGAAATCTTGGCAGACATCACTCTCAGAGCTGCATTATATCCCATCATATGAATACAACCATAATTTATTTAACTACTCCCATCTTGGTGACCATTTAAGTTAAATTTTGTGTTTCTGAGAAGTGTCATTGTTCCTAGTGGGCCATCATTATGGCTCAGCTGTTGAGGTTTAGAATTATCACTCCTACACCCATTTGGCATATTTTTGCCTGATGTTCACTGATTTAATCCATGCTTCATTCCTCAGGTAATGAGCAGTGTAGCACTGTAATTAAGGGTCTAGACTCTGTTAGACTTGTCTGGGTTCAAATCTCATCTCATTCACTTTCCATATGTCTTGGATGATTGTTTTACTTTTCTGGTATTTATTGCAAAGTGATGCTAATAGCACCTACTTTTATGGCAGTGGTTCTCAAACTTCAGCATGCATCAGACTCTCCGAGAGGACTTGTTAATACACAGCTTGCTGGGCCTCAAGCTCAGAGTTGCTAATGTAGTGGTAGAGCTGGGGTGGATCCCAAGACTTTACAATTTGAACAAGTTCTTGGGTGGTGTTGGTGTTGCTGGTCTGAGGGCCGTGGCTTGAGAACCAGCATTCTAGGGGTTCTTGTGTTAACTGAGGTGATGCATGAAAAGTGTTGCTAGCACAGTGACTACCACCTTGTCATTATTCAATAACTTTCAGAGTGTCAGTTAAGTTCTTGGTCATCAGAAATTATAGTTAGTAGATCATGTTGGTTTATTGCCAACAGAGTACTATGTCACTCTAAAATATCTCTGGATCTCAGAACCTCCGAACTTGGGGTGGAACAAGGTGTGTGTGTGTGTGTGTGTGTGTGTGTGTGTGTGTGTGTGTGTATGTAGTACACAGAGTATACTTTTTTTTACAATTAACTTTCACCTGAAAAATGAGCTCTTGAATTAAGAAATCATGCTGCTTTGACATTTTCCCTTCATCTCTCCTCTTACCCTCTTTAGTGAACCTGTTTCTCCATTGCAACTTTCAGCATTTAAAAGAATTGTCCAAATATCAGGAAGGAACTCAGAGCCTCTTACGAAGGCACGATTACTGCCAGCCCAAAGACAAGAGCTAGGCTAATGAATTTTTACTTCCCATAATGAGATGTACCCTGCAGCTGGAATATTCAGAAATGTATAATTTTGATGGAAACATAACTCAATTTTAGGGCAATTGAAATATAATATATACAGGAAAAGGAATTCGAGAGACATAATTGGCAAGACATTTAGATCCCCTTGCAGTGACCACTCTGGATTCCATTCGTTAAAAAAAAAATTCCTGCTGCTGTGAAATGCTGCTGCACTATTCCCAGAAGTTATACCTTTAAATGCAGCAATTTTGTAAATAGTATTTCAGCCCTGGAGAAACAATGTATCAAGTGCTTGGTGTTTAATGAAACCTCTCTCTCACCTTGCATATGAGGTTGGATAGTGCACAGACATCTCTCCTTTTTATGCTTTCCATCACCACGGTGTCCCTCACACTCACTCTGGGAAAGAGTGGAACCCTGCCAGGATCCTCATGACTGAGAGCTGGAGAAAGTCTACAGAAGGCAGTTTTGAAAAAAACCAAAAAGGATTAAGGGTACAATATCTTTCTACCCTTCAGCCATCATTTCTTCCATCCAATAGATGAAATACGTTGATGAATTAAGATTTAACTTCTCAAAGACCATACAATCTGATGAGGATGAGGCATTTGTCTAAAGACACACTCAGGAAATAAGAATTCTTTTTTCCCCTAATATTGAAAATAAAGAATAGCAGAAAAATACAGACTCTGATAAAATACTCAACACAGTGTTCATCACGGACAACACAGGTACACAAATGAAAGGTTGGTGTTAAAACATTCATGATAATGTGGAACTCCTGACTGTACCTCTCCCCAGCTTCTCTTTTCTTCCTTTTTTTCCATAGGGGGGAAATACTTTATAATGAATTTGGTATGTATCTAAATCCGTATACATATAGCTGCACTTTCTAGACAGATATGTGTTCAACCTTATCCCCAATACATAGTTGTTTTTGAGTACACAAATGGTATCTAATGTATTAGAATTTCCTTTATTTCAGCCTTGTGTTGTCAAGATCTCTCTATGAAGACAATATAATTCCAGTGTATTCATCTTATCGCTGTTTGGTTTTCTGTTGTATAAATGTACCATTTTTATTTAGTTATTCCCTTTTGACGGACCTTTAGTTGTGGATGGCGAGAGGTCTTCCATCTAGATAGCTCAAGGCAGAGAACAGATGTATCTGTAGCCTGAGTCGGATCCATCGGCTTGTTCCATGGAAGCCCAAGACTCTACAGTTAGGGGTTCCTCATTTCAAGCTCAAAATAATAACATTTTTAGCTGGATCCAAAGTCTTACTTTGAAAAGCAGTGGGTTCTACAATGTTGGTGCAAGTGCAAACTAGTTCAACCTCTCTGGGAAACAGTGTGGCGATTGCTAAAGGAACAAATAACTCTCATTATTCTCCTTATGGAGTAGGGAGCATGCAAACAAGCTTCAGAAGAGGTTCAGAAGAATTTATACCTGGTGGGTTCATATGAGTTACTGAGGGACTGTGGGGTCCAACTTTGGTTGAGAACAACATCTTGTGGACAGCTAGACATGTCACTTGGTGGTCCCCATGGACTTCTAATATCATGAGAACTGCTTGTACAGTTAAGATATTATAGTGGTGACTTATTGCTCATGGGCTGGGTGTGGTACAAGGTGTGTGAGAGGGATGGCTTATTCATGACCTTACCATTGACCTGTTTCTGCTTCTGGGACTTCAGGAAAAAAGTACAGGAAAGGGGGACATTTTCTTTATGTTTAATATTCCTGATTTTACAGAAGACACTTTGAAAAGAGCAGTCAGCATTTTCCAAAGTTCAAAAATAGCTCAGCCATGTTATATAACCTCCTCCTTGCTACTGCAAAGTTATTAAACATCTGTTCCTTCACAAAGCACAGAGCATGTCACTGGTAACTCCCAGAATTGTGAAGGGAAACTATTACCTGTTTTGCTGGTGTGGAACCCAGGCTACTCAGTCCAATTCTGTCCCAAGAATCTGTCCAGTTCATTGGTGACTGGGGCCCCCAGGAGGCAGTGTGACATCACAGTGAAGAGCCTGGGCACTGGGGCCAGGCTGCCTGGGTTTCAATCCCTGATCTGCCCTTTTCTAGACATAGGACTTTGAATAAATCATTAACTCCTCCAAGTCTGTTCCCTAAGGTGTGCAATGAAGTTAAGAGAAGTATTTGCCTCTTACACCAGCACCTGTCCATGTGTGTGTTTGTGTGCATGTGTATGAATGTGCATGCATGTGTGTAGTATATGGAAAGCAGTTTATAAATGGTTACTTTTTATAGCCCAGGCTGGAGTGCAGTGGCACACTCATGGCCATCCTAATATCGACCTGCTGGGTTCCAGTGATCCTTCTGCCTCAGCCTTCCAAGTAGCCGGAACTACAGGGGCGCGCTACCATGCCCAGCTATTTTTGATTTATTGTAGAGACAAGGTCTCGCCAAGTTGTCCATGCTGGTCTTGAACCTGCGGACCCAGGCAATCCACTTGCCTCAGCCTCCCAAAGTACTGGGATTACAGGGTGAGCCACCGAGCCCGCTGGTTATTGATGAAACTTGTAGACATAAAATTGTGAGTTTAACAAGTGTATCTGCATATCATAACCCATGCTATTACTGTTTGTTCATTCCAGAAAAATATATTTAATGCCTTATATGTGCTAGATTGCAATTATCCATAGGTGAAGGGACACAGAAAGGCCGCCATCGGAATACTGGGTAGGATAGGGGTGACATTCGTCTACTGTTTGTTTTGAGGTTTGAAGACCAGTGGAATATTCCATAGTAGAGGC